AACTAATAGTGTCTAAAATATTGGCTTCAATAATACCTTGACGCCTAACTAGAGCTCATGAAGAGTAGACTCGAGAAAACCAGAGTTTCAGACCTGGACGTGGATGTTTGGACCAAATATTCACACTTCATCAGGTCCTAGAACACAGACACACATTTCAACATCCGACAATAGTTGTATTCTTCGACCTTAAGGCGGCATTTGACTCTATGGATCGTGAGGTTCTGTTGCAGTGTCTGTCATTAAAAGATGTGCCAAAGAAGTACATTAACCACATACAAGCTCTCTACTCGAACACCACTGATCGAGTGAGAGAGCTTACAGCGAACTGTCATTGGAATTCTTCACTTCAAGTGGTTTCCGTCAGGGATGTCCACTATCTCGACAAGATAATGGCAACTGGCTGCTACAGGCCTTGAAAGACGTGGCTCGAAATCCTATGAATTCACTGTTTCTCTCCCTTCAAATTTCACTTTTAAATTTTCTTAGTTGAAAAAAGTTTATGCATTCTAGCGCCTTGTCAGTCAAAATCATACGGTAACTGTCACAAAAGTCTTGTAAGAACAAGGCTCGCGTAGGAACTCTCAAATTTTATCTTCGAACTGTTTAATTTCTAAATGCTCTTCGACTTTCAACCGAATCCACCAGGTGCATGTCCCGACCGTATCTGCTACCTTGACGTGGCGGTCGGGCTTGCCTATCGTGATGACCCAACCGAGCTATATTGGCTGGAACTTTTGTTTCTGAAGGTTCTACCATGCCGGGCAGGTCGATTGGAGAACGATTAGACTAAAAGCAGCTACTTAAGGCGAAGTCGTACTTCTGACTGCAGAGGGGTGTGACAGCAGTAAGGTGTTTTCCTCGGACAACCAGCACCTGCAGCGATGCTGCCTTCTCACAAGGAAGGAAGGGTTAGAAAAGGTCGACCCTAAAAATGTCACACCTCACCCTACCTCTCGGATTTCCGTCTCCTTGGGTAAGGGTGCTCACTAAGGGCTTTCAAGAGCAGAGCTAACACTCAAAAAACTTCTCATAAAAAGGCCGTGCGTAACCGGCCTCAAGCAGTTGTCCCTTGGGCTCTGCGGTCACGCTCCCAGGTCTCAAAGACCAACACTAATCTATCTTCCTTTTCAGGTTCCTCAAGAAACACCCTTCCACGGTGTGGGCAGCCGGGAAGTGATAACCGCCCTCATACCCATAACAGCACACGAGACCGAATTGGTCAAAATCAAATCCTTCCTACACCCCCTAATACCTATCTTATCTCCACGACTAACTCTTCTCACATTCCTTTATCACATTGCAAAGCTAATGCAAACGATGCGAGCTCACGAAACGACATTTCTGGTCTCCTTAAACCCCGTTCTAAACTACATGTTGGAGCATTTAATGTGCGGACATTGTGTCAAATAGAGCAACAGGCATCATTATCTAGGACTTTAGAATCTCGTTCCATCGATGTGTGCTGCGTCTCGGAAACGCGCATACAGGATCCGAGTAGCATCATTCACTTGACTTCACCATGTCAAGATAAAGAAGCAGCTCGATTTACCCTTCGTGTATCCGGCAGCCCTGATGCTGCTTCCCGGGGTCTCGCTGGTGTAGGTATAGCATTGAATCGTAGGGCAGAACAATCTCTTCTTGGCTGGATCCCTGTAGATAGTCGTTTGTGCGCCGTCCGACTCAACGGGACAGTAAGGACTCGGAATGGTAGTGACAATCGCCGTTGCCTCTTCGTCGTATTTGCCTATGCCCCCACTGACTGCAGTTCAGACAATGTGAAAGATGAGTTTTACAGAAAGCTTTCGGATCTCCTCCAAAAAGCTAGGCGCTCTGAAATGGTTATAATGGCTGGTGACTTCAATGCTCAAATTGGTAGACTAAGTGAAAATGAAAGACACCTGGGTGGATGTTATGGTCTCGCGGCTCAAAGAACAGACAATGGCGACCATCTGTTGCAACTGTGCTCAGATAACGGCCTATTTCTAGTAAACACTAATTTTAAGCATAAGGAAAAACAATTTTTGACCTGGCGACCCCCAAAGTCGTCTTATTGTTGGAGCCAACTAGATCACATTGCCATTAGACACTGATGGAGAGGTTCGATAGAGGACTGCCGCTCGTTCTGGGGCACATGTTTAGATTCAGATCATGTTGTAGTGCGAGCGCATATTTGTTTGAGGCTTACTGGACGTAGGAAAAATATCGCCGGAAAACCTCTTAAGGTTCTACTTAATGATAATAGGGCGAAAAATATATTTCAGGAACAACTAGAAAGACAGGTAGGCGACCATTTAAGCGATTCCCATCCGGAAGCAGGATGGAATGATATCAAAAAGGCTGTGGAAACAGCAGTGATATCTGCTAGTAAGGTTGACCATAAGGCGAGAATGAAGCCGTGGGTTTCAGTCGCATCCACCGAACTGATGGATGCTCGAAAACTCATCCCACCTGACTCCGAACATGATGAAGAGCGTAGTCAGCTTAGGCACAGACTTATAAAAGGCCTACGTAACGACCGTGAACAGTGGTGGGTGTCGAAAACAAAAGCGATGGAAAAGGCAGCGGCGATCGGCAACAGTAGACAACTTTTCCGCCTTATTAAAGAAACCGGTATTAGGAAACCGAATGTGAGTGAGACTATCTCGGAAAAGGATAGTCTTATTATCCATTCTCAATCGAGGAGACTGGACCGATGGGCAGAACACTTTAGGGATCAGTTCAACTGGCCTCGAGCCACTGTTCGGTTACCGACGATCTCCAGTAATCCTGAATGCCAAATTGACGTAAGCCCCCCTAGTCTTAATGAAGTTGAAAAAGCGTTAGGAAATTTGAAGCGAGGGTGAGCTGAGGGTCCTGATAGACTGAGCCCTGAGATATTTAAGGATGGTGGTACAGTTTTAGCAACTCGGTTGACCGAGATCTTTGGTAGAATCTGGAAACTGGACGTAATCCCATCTGACTGGTCTCAATCACTGATTGTCCCAATCGATGAAAAAGAATAGAAGTCTTCTTGTGACAATCACAGGGAAATAAGTCTAACTAATATAGTATCTAAAATTTTGGCCTCAATAGTACTTCGACGCTTAACGAAAGCTCGTGAAGAGCAGACTCGAGAAAACCAGTCTGGTTTTCGACCTGGACGTGGTTGTATAGACCACATTTTCACACTACGACAGGTCCTGGAACACAGACACATTTATAAGTCCTACAATAGTTGCTTTCCTGGACCTTAAGGCGGCATTTGACTCAGTGGATCGTGAGGTTCTGAGACAGTGTCTGTCATTGAAAGGTGTACCAAATAAGTACATTAACCACATACAAGCTCTCTACTCGAACACCACTGGTCGGGTGAGAGCTTATGGCGAACTGTCATCGGAATTGATTACTACAAGTGGTGTTCTTCAGGGCTTTCCACTTTCTCCATTTTTGTTTAATTTTATCATAGACATGCTCCTAGAAATAACCTTATCCTCGTCTGAATTTTCAGGAGTAGATCTTTTACCAGGTGGCTCGCTTATTGACTTAGAATATGCCGATGACATTGTCCTACTTGGTGAAGACGCTGACAAAATGCAGAGTCTTCTGACTATCATAAGCAACAATGCAAGCATGTTTGGGATGCGGTTTTCCCCGTCGAAATGCAAAATATTGCTTCAAGATTGGGTTTCATCGGCACCTGAACTAGTGATAGGGAGTGAAGTAGTCGAACGTGTAGACCGCTTCACTTATCTTGGGAGTCTCATCAGTGCCGATGGCCTGGTGACTGACGAAATCTCAGCGCGGATACAAAAAGCTCGATTTGCTTTTGCCAAACTGCGTCACTTTTGGCGTAGGCGAGATATCCGTTTGCTGACTAAAGGACGAGTGTACTGCGCTGTAGTTCGCTCCGTCTTACTTCATGGCTGTGAAACATGGCCAATGAGAGTAGAAGATATTCGTAAGTTACTGGTTTTCGATCATAGGTGTCTTCGAAGCATTGCTCGTACACCGTGGGACACCCGAGTGAGCAACGCTGTTATTAGGAATCGGGTGCTAGGTAAGAATGGCAGATCAATAGATGAAGTGTTGAAACTTCATCCGTTGAGGTGGTTGGGACATGTGTTGCGTATGGATAACCACCGACTGCCTCGTCGAGCTATGTTTTGTAGTGTAGGAATAGGTTAGAAGAAAGTTAGGGGCAGCCAAACCAAAACATGGCAGAAGTCTATGAAGTAATTGAAGAGTGGACTTAGCCATGTTGGTAGTTGTCGACTACCTGGTTGGTGTCCGCGAGATGATAATATTCGATGGTTAGAGACCTTGAATGACATGGCTCAAAATCGTTCGCAATGGCGCGGGTGCGTTTATTCTTTGTGTTCTCTCAAATCCTAATCTTCTGGATTCTTCTTGAATAATATCTTCTCATCCTAACCTCTCCGATTACTTCTAATACCCTTACTACCTCTTCTACTATTGGATTTGAATTGACAATTACATCTCTGTGCTGATGTGGTATGGCGACATGAACTGTACTTACGTACGAAGTTCTACGTTGCAACTGACTGACTGACTTGTTTATGTAGCGTTTCTTAATTCAATCTGGTGGGGTGCGAATACGTCTGGTCACGGGGAGTCACGAACGAATTTCGAACCTTCTGAAGAGTATCTTAGGTTACCGGATCTTTACCTTTAAGAATATAGGCGACTTATAGGTGATATTCTAATGACTTTCAGAATTCTTGATAACCGAGGAAAAGTTCTAGAAGACCTGGATAAGTTCAACCCCAGCAAAAACTTTGGGGGAAATTGGAGAGAGTGATATGTGTATATCTAAAAAATGAACTGTATGCACACCCACTTGTTACAAGTGTCAATCGACATCCTTGGAGTCCTGCAGGAGGAAACTTGGTGTATTCTTGAGTACACTGAGCAATATTACATAATAATTTGTCTATTGTTTCTGTTCTGAATTTTTCCTCTTATCAGACAGAACTATTTTAGAGCACTAATCCTTGCACCGCGTTTTTAGGTACTTCGCGCTACACGCACCTGACCTTGCAGGCCATCTCAACGTGTTAGGTTTTTACTCTTGGGTTTCATTACAAAATTATGGAAGCCTGTGCAACTATTATGAAAGAAAACGTTGACTTGAGTTCACAACTGAATGAGCAAGACTTTCCTGCCCTCCCAAAAGCGGGATTATCTCGTCCTGTCAAAGTTCTAGGTGCTTTAATACCCTCTTACCAAGCCAAAACCACAGAAGTATGATCATATTTGTCTAGTAACATTGCTAGGTTTTGGAAATACCTTTCGAGGAAAGGCGATTCATTGGTAACGAGAACGACCATCTTTCAGCTGGTAGAAGATATAACGTTCAGAGCAAAATCTGTATGGAAATTGCAAGAGACACAAATGTCGAAATGAATTTAAACAGCTCCAAAAATCATATTTTGACAGTTGTGATCTCAGGAGAGCCAAGCAGAGTGGCTGAGGCGAAGAGAAGAGTCGTAGCTGAATTGCAACAACAGGTAAAATGATTATAAGTAGTATTTTTATTGAATCCTATAAGCTGTTACTTGGTGTTACAACAAAAAAGTCGCGGATGCGCACTGCTAAGGAGTTCCATACTAGGACGAAACGGCCGTCCAGTGCTTCCAGGTTTCTAATGGTGGTCTAACAATGATGATTGATTAATGATTTCAAATGTGTAAAAACGCAAACCTCCAAAACTGTGCCCCAAAAAAGTATTCACTTGAAACTTTTTTAATTTAGTTTATGTATCAAGTGGATAGTAAGGGATACAATAATCAGTAATTTGTAAAGGCAATACAATTTTTCGATTCGTTTTGCTAAGTCATCAATAAGTGCACTGACCTAACTTTTGTAATGAAGAAAAATACCTCAGTTCACTTGTTTGAAGCAACTGTACTTAGGAGTAAAAGGTCGATGTAGACTTTTATCATCAACAACTGCGAATAATAACCTTGTATTACTAGAACTACAAACCGCCTCATTCGGTATGATCTTTGAAATGTGACCTGACATAATCAACCTGTAGATACATTATTTGATAATTAACTGTCAGGTATTAGTCGAATGTATTCCTACTATAATTTTACGTAAATTATCATGTCTGAGCGCCTGAACAGTAGGAATAATCGTCAAGTTTATTTGGAAGTAATATCGTTTACTTAAGTGCTTGTCAAAGAATAGAAAGCTATTGTAGTACTTCTTGGTAATTTAGTCCGCAGCAATTAACATTATTGGTTGCTTTGGATGTTCTCAAAAATTCTAACTAATTTCGGAGTAACTATAACACCGTTATGCAAAGTAAAATTACAGTTAGAAGTAGATTTTTCAGTAGTCAGATTGATTCTCAACATCTAGTCCTTCCAATCAAGCTAAGCAAAAATATGTAAACTTGAGTTTTAGGATGAGAAACTGGTTTTATGTCACTAGTTCTTCAACAAAAGAACTTCATCCTAACAGTTTAAATGAAATGCTGCTATATGAACATAAAACACTAGTTGGGGTGTAAAATCCCAAGCTCTTCGGACAAGAATCATTTAGTTATTAAAAAAATCAAGTAAAAAAAATGCTGTATTCTAAAACCCTTGAGCACTAAAACTAGTTCTATGGGGTTTTTTCTGAAACCAAATTATTTTTTCGAAAAGGCTATATGTAAAGTCGCTAAGGATGCAAAGTTACACCTATTTTTGTAGTCTACTCGTTCCTGTTAAACTAGTCACTGACAAAATATTGACTCAGAAAGTTCGTTAACTTCTCGCCAGTTTACACTGTCAATAACAAGAGTATTTCTGGACTCTAATTCTACATATATATTGACAAGATCACATTGTTGGTTACCACGTATTTAAGTTTCCATTATTTTTGACCAAACCTAATCATGTTTTTTCAGGAAACTGTTCGAATTCCTGTCCCTGTTGAGTGTCGGGGTTATTTGATTGGTCGGAAAGGGGAGCGATTACAAGAACTCGAGTCATCAACGATGACACGGATTAGCATTCCACCTCACAATGCTCTCGACCCCAATGTCGTCGTTGTCACAGGTCCCAGAAGAGGGATTTTAGAAGCAGAAAGTTTGATTTATGAAATTGTTCGCAAGCAATCCCAACAAGCATTTGAACGGCTCTCGATTCCGAAAATTTATCATCCTTTTGTTTGTGGCCCGTAAGTCTATATCAATTACTATATTTAACCGGAATGGATTTTGACCAAGGTGTTTCTTTGTAGGAACAACCAGGTTGTAAATGATCTGAAGTCTCGAACTGATACTAAGATCAACATTCCTCCTCCAAATGTATCAGTTGATGAAATAACAGTTTCCGGCAAGCGCGAAGGTGTTGCACAAGCGGTCAAAGAAATCCAGGCTATATATAATGAGCGAGTAAGGATTTTTAAGCATATGAGATTATATTGATCCAGTATATCTAATTTTATGTAGTCTTTGTAATATCACACCTTTCGGGATATGCATGTTATTATCCTTTTCTATATCAAAACTTCCTGATGAATTTTCCCATCATAGCATTTTGTGTAGCCACTGAACTAAAAAATATAAGACAGTCCAAACATCAAATTAATTATGAAGTATTATTCCCCGAATTTGACCACAATTTTATATCTAATATTTTCAGCTTGAAACTACCAAGACAATTACTGTTAAGGTTGCTAGGTCACAACATCGTATTATATTTGGTCAGCGCGGTTCTGGAATCGCAGATATTTTAGCTCAAACTGGTGTTTCTGTCGAGTTGCCACTTGATGATGGGAATGAGGAGATTGTTTTACGAGGAAAACCTGAAGATCTCGGACGTGCTCTTACAATGGTTTATGAACGGGCTCAAAGCACTATGACAGAGGAAATTGAGGCACCTAATCGCTTCCATAGACTTTTAATTGGAAGAGGAGGTTCTAAATTAACAGAATTACTGGAAGGATATAAACGGGTAAGTTTCATATGTATTTCACCAGAAAATTCATAAGAACGTGCACTTCGTTTACCATAAATCGACTTTTAGACCTCTAGTACGATGTATGGTAGTGCTCACACTCAGCTAGTTGGTAATCTTCTGGTCACATCACTCTGGTTTAGAAGAGCGAATAGTGATAAAACTTGGTTATCGTTAGACGCTCTTAGATAAGTCCTCACTGTGGCATTTATAAGTAAAACGATTAACATTCTGTTTATGAATACTTAACTCCTAGGTGGATGTTTAAAGTATGTGATCTCTTAGTCAAGAATGTAAGAAGAAAAAAACCCTGTTGAGAGTATGATCTCAGTTTCAGTTGACATGATGCAATCATTTGTCACACTGTCAGTATTGAAGTAGAGAATGAGAATATGAATTATATGTAGTGTAAGATTAGTATAAAATTGTATTATTTTAAAATGGTAGTCTTCCTTTCCTTTTCCAATTGCCTCGATCTTGAATTGATTAGATGAAATTGTTCAATGTCTTGCATGGTTAATACTTGCACTAAGAAAGCCACTGTTAAAACTTCTATTATCAAAACTCAGGTTTTCTCAACATATCGTGAATCAACGTCCCGGCATCGAAAAGCGCTTGTTTTCCATTCTATAAGTTCCCGGTTCCGAACTTTATACTGGTGCATAAACCTGTAATCGGTTGATTAGTTATATCATGTATACAGTATAATCAGCTTGTAAACTTTTTTTTCTGAAACAAGTTATCTACAAATAATAATCTAAAGTTTTCCAATTAGTCCTGTTTCGGACATGAAGTGCCCTGAAGCTTTTTTATCTACAGTAAAATACTTGATCGTTGTTTCTATACTAGACCTGTTAATATGCTTTGCACATGTATAGGTTCAGGTAAATTTTGGAGATAACACCGATAGAATCTCTGTTGAAGGTCCTTGTGAAGAAGTTGAAGCTATTGTTGAACGCCTAAAAAGTCGCTTAGCAGAACTACAAGCTACTGTTGCTATGGCTACAGTGAAAGTGGATCCCAAGTACTACAGACACATAATTGGCAAACAGGGAGCTACCATTGGTCGTTTGCGTGACTATAAAGTACGTGTTAGACTTCCTGATTCGGATCGAGGTGATTCTTTCTCTGATGAAATAGTGATAGAAGGGGATCCAGCTGGAGTTGAAAAGGCCAAACTCGAAATCCAGCAACTGGTGGAGAGACTGGTATGTGTTCTATTCCTATTTTGCTAAGTAGTATGTTTGCTCTCCATATAGCTTCATACATATATGGTAAATGCAAGACAGATTCACCTTTAATGTATTCGGTTTCAGCTTTTTCAGATGTCAAAAGTCTAATTTTGACCAATGGTTTTTATGCGATTCTCAAAATATATCTATAGGTATACATACTTCATACAAATGTCTGTACGGCGCTCTTGGAAAGTAGGGCTACTGAAATAATGTACTGATACGTCGAAACTTCAGTAAAGAAAGGATTTTTTAATAGTGGTAACAATGTAGGACATGAAGTATGAAAGAAATTCAATCTGAAAAACTAGTTTCACTTCAACAAAAAAGCCCACGAAAATTCTTATTCCGATGGAATGTTTTTGGTTATAATTAACCATATTATGTCGTGAATGAGTTATGTTGATTAGTATATCAAGTTAAGTTATTTCAGAATAATTATCTATGGCTCAAACAATTTGAGATATGAAATAAATATAGTTTGGTTCAAGTTGAAACGTTTCATATCACAGATGAAACCATACACTGAAGGTAGACCGGTAAAGCACTAATTATACTTGCTTATTTTTACATTACCAATTGATGCTGATTGACTAACCATTATAAAACTACAAAATTCTGCGATCTCCATCATCATATGCCTACTAATGATAAACTTCAAGAAGTGATTCCCAAAGTTCCAATGATGAGAAACCGTAACTAATCAAGTTCATTCATACCGGGTGCGGAACAAAAATGTAAACAGAATAGTGGGAATCGATATAAATTAGAAATGTAAACCACAATGTTAACTCAGTGATTTAATGGTCAAACGCTGTCTTCAAGGCTTGAAGATTATAGGCTGAATAGATGATTGGTTGAGTTTTGGAAGTACAGTCAGTTGTGATTCTACACTGTCGAGAAGTCTCAGACTAGGAGGAAGACTGTTCAATGGTTATCCAACTGATATCAGCGTGTGGTGTAAAATTACGAAATTCAACCGCGTATGCTAAAGTAGTAATGATGTTGACGCTTGTTTTAAACTATTACAAATCCAAGAGAAACAAATCAAATTATGGGATGTAAAGTGAGTGATAATACACCACCGCAACTGATATTAAGCCATATTGAATGAAATTTCCAGTTGTTAACGATTTTTGTAATCAAGTGCTTACAACCTGTTCACATATCATTTAAACCAGGCAATTTTAACACGTGAAATTGAAGTGCCATCTGGTGCGACAGTATACTCAAATTTTGAGCAGTGTTTTTAATTTTCATAAATAAAACTTTCATGGAAGCTAATCGATAATTAAATAGTCAGTATTATAAATGGTTAGTATATCTTTAAATCGAAGTGGAGTAATATTTTCTGTTGTTCCATGCTGACCAAAGCATAGACAAACGTTCATTCTGTAATCACTTTAGGGAACAAAATAAAAAAATAATAGTAATCATTGTTCTCTTAGCGAACAAAGTTATAGTGGATGTAATAGAAATCTTACGAGTAAGAGAGCGATTGAAAAGGTGCTGTATCATGTACAAAAATCAAATAATCATTACCACAACAGTAGTACTTATTCTCTAAGAAGCGATAAATACGATCAGTTCATGACTCATATAAATATTTGAAAAATGCATCATAGACAAAGCATATTTCGACAAACAGTCGTCTTGATATTCTGCATCTTAATTGTCTGCATATTAAGGCCTACTAAAATGAAACAGCTCTCCAGTGCTTCCCAGTTTTCATTAGTGGCATAGGTAAGGTCAATTCATGATATTAACTGTGAAATTATGGTAAAATTAGCCAGTTTTCTAAGTCAAAAACGGTGGGTTTCACCATGGCTAGGTAAGTCAAATAGTTTCAATAGTTATATGATACAAAAAGTAGAAAAGAATAACGTAGAATGTTATGTAAAATCATGTTAACAAATAATGTGAATTATAAGAAATGTAATGTTATTCAATGCTATGTTATTGTGACACTAACAATAACAATTTTTCATGAATTAGGAAAGATGAACGTGCCATGAAGATAGTTTCATGGTAAGAGAAAATATAAGGATTCTATACATGCAAAGTTCATTATGGTGTTTATGAAACAAACATGTAAATATTTTGTGTAATTTCGTCATACATTGGTGTATTTTTCTGTACGTATTTGTTCACTGCTCGATTTTGTATCCTAATTAAACTTACTAGTTTACCGTTATAAGTCTATTCTCAATATACATCATTGAAATCTGATGTATTAAAGTCGATGTAATAAGATTTCATGTTTTCTGTATCTCGTTAAGTGCTATTTTTAACAACTAACATCTTATCCGATTATTTACAAATCGTTCTTTCCGTAAAAAATAAATTAAAATTGTTCCTCTGTTTATACCGTTGTAGGAAAATGAGAAATGCAAAGATGTGATTATTGATCCACATATTCAAAATTTGTTACGCTCAAGCGTGAATGGAACTTTTCCTTATATTCGTACCATTTACGAAACATTCCCTCAAGTACGTATTATATGGCCTGAGAATGAGGCAAATGAATCCATGTTTGAAGAGAATCCAACTAAAAGTATTGTTCAACTACGAGGTGATCGTCAGCAAGTTGATGCAGCAAGTGAAAAGTTAAACAAACTTATTAAATTAGTGAAAGAGGAAAACTATAGACAAGAGGTAAAGTCAAATATTAATTTTTGCGCGTTCTATTGAAAGTTTTCACTGAACAGTATTATTATCTGAAATCATTCACTAACAATTTGAAGGTCTTGGGTTCGATTCCATCCGGCGGGTTCGTGGATGCACACTTTTAAGGAGTCTCATACTATGACAAATCAACTGTCTAGTGCTTTTAGGTTTTCGTTAGTGGTCTAGCTAAGATCATTTCGTTACTTAAACTATAAAAATGCTATTTCATTAGATGTATTAATTCAACTAGCCAATCTGTTCAATATTCACGCTGATTGACTACTAAATGATCATCAATGTCATGTTTATCTAATCCCTCCCTCTATCGAATTTTCTCGAACAAGTTAGAGTGTGAGATAGGTAAAGCAGCGTTCGACTGTGTAACTGAATCTTCCAAGGGAAAATGTATAAAAACATGAGCCACTCACCCTGTTCAGTTACTTAAATAATTGAAAATATTTAAGAATTATTTTATGATAATTTGTTATCTTTCTTCTCACATAAAATTATTTTTGATATTTCACAAGAAACAATTTCATACTTATAATCATCATTTTTATGGGTAGCGAAGATTTACTAAACGATTTTGTAAATTGTCAACCTATTTTGTTCATCACTACTGTTTGTTTCTTACTTCAGTAAAAAATATTTCTTTTTGATCCGTTCATTTTCAAAAAACAGCAATTTTATTTCAATGATACATTTTGGTGTGATATGCAAGTCGCAATTTACTCAACGTTTGGCAACCAGTTGAAACATGGTATACATATAACATTTATTTGTTACTTCTCATCTATAGATACACATTTTCAAAGAGATACGATCTAGTTTTCTTGGACGTGAATATCCAAGAGTGCGTAAAATTCTTGAAGATACACAAACACGTCTGCAAAATCCTAATGTTGGTTCTGATCCTGATATTTTTACTGTAATTGGACGAGAGGAAAATGTACACAAGGCGATTGAACAATTAGAAGAATTACAAAAGAAACTGGTTTGTTAACCATATTTTTCCAAACATTCATACTTACATAATCTTACCATGTAGATTCAATGTTGAAGGAGAATTATCTGCTAATTGTGTTTTGTAAATTGAATTATTTTATGCTTATTGAAGCTTCGGTTCTAGTAGAAAAATAGTACTTTAGAGTTGTCATTCTAATCATACCTCAATTTTTTAAATTTATCTTATGTATTTCAATCATTAAAACTTGACACATATGTATATGGCATTTTCTCTGGTATTGTTTAACAGGCGGCCCTGATGGCTACGTACGAATTTATCTACAGTAAGTGTTAATTCCGTAGGTTGTATCCAATTTTCTGACAACGAAAACACTTGTAGTATAATCAAGTTGAAAAAATTGATTGTCTTCCCAAACTTCAAATAAATTGCTTTATGAATCGAAATACAATCCCAGTTTTATGAAAAGTCTGTTGTACCAAAGAGTTTGCTTGATTTATTTCACCATAAAGGCATTCTTTATTTTGAGAAAGTCCGGAATATTATATATATATATATATATATATATATATATATATCATTGATATGTAATGTATTACACGCGTTTCTTCCTACTTCCGACTCATCATCTGAATATAACTGCATCCCAAACTTTCTGTTCACTCTGGGACTCGACAGCA